AAGAGACTTTATATGGGGTAGCTCAATAAAAAAAAAGGAAAATTCACCTAGTCAACTGGTCTACCCTTTGCCAGCCTAAACCTAATGGTGGCTTAGGTATCCATAATGCTTTGAATAAAAATCTGTGCACCTTAGCTAGCCTAAGTTGGAGACTTCATACAAATGCCACAATCCCTTGGGCCAAGCTTATCATTTCATGTTATTGTACTAGTACCATACTGAATAGGTGTTCCTTCATTTGGAAAAGTATTTGCAAAGGTTGGGAAATTTGCTCTAAGCTTATAATATGGTCCCCCCACCTTCACTCCAATCTTAACATATGGGAAACAAATTGGATTTCTAAATTTGGTAACCTAAGAAAAAAGTGTGATAGGCCCACCCTCCACTAAGAATACTATGACAAAAATTAGAGATATCTTCGATGGTTGCAATTGAAATTTTGATGGCCTATCCTTTCCTCTTCCTCCGTGACTATTAGCTAATATAACAAAGATCAAAATTCGTCTCAAGGGCCCCTCTAATGATTTAGCTATTTGGTCTCTCAACAATAAGGGTGTGTTCACTACTAGGTCTTGTTATACTCTTCTAGAAACTCCAAAGAACACTGACTTAGAATTTGACTGGATTTGGAAACTAGACTGCCCCAATAAAATAAAATATTTTTTATGGAAATATCTTCATGATTGAATCCCCTCAGGAAATACCTTTCATAGATTGGGCTAAACATTGACCCTTACTGTCATCTGTAAATGTCCTAATGAAGAATCCATAAAACATATTTTCCTAGAATGCAAAGCCGTTAAAAAATTCCGGGCTTGCCTTCGAGGGCAAAACCACAATATTTTAAATGGTAATCACTGGCTTATCCAAGTAAGAGACCTCAACTATTCTCTTAATAACACATACTTAAATTGGAACTCTTATTTTCCCTTTATCATTTGGCACATTTGGATAAATAGAAATAATAATAACCATAATAATACTACCAACCCTATCAATGATTCTCTTATTATGCAGAGGGCTATAGAATTTAAATTACTCATGGAAAAACTCTCTATAAACCCTCAAAAATTATCCATTAAAATCAATTGGCAGAAACCTCCAAGGGGTTGGTTTAAACTAAACGTTGATGCCAGTTTCAATAACTATAACCAAAGTTGTGTCTTAGGTGGTGTTTTCAGGAATGCCAATGGTAATTGGCTAGTTGGTTTTACAAAATCGATTCATGCAAATGGTTCACTAGCAGCAGAATTGAAATCCCTAAGAGAAGGTCTCAAAACAGCAACGGATTGGAATCTATTCCCACTTGAAATAGAGACAGATTGCACAGAGGTAATCCAGGCAATACATGACGGTAATAATTTATTTAATAAGGATGTGAATGATTGCAGGTTGTTAATGCACCAGCAGAAGGTTATCCTCCAGCACACCTTCAGGCAGAGGAATAGGACAGCTCATCAACTAGCAAAAAAGTGCCTGAATATGGGAAGTCAAGCTTTTGGAGCAGCTGGAAGAAGTAATGATCAGGGGAGCAGTAAAAAAGTTTTAGTTAGACCTCAACGTGATGTAATATGTTT